CAATTTTGCACTAGTCTGCACAATCCCGCACAATCCTGTACCATCCTGCTCCAATCTGCTCCATCCTGTTCATACCTGCACCTACTTGCACCATCTTGCGGCAGTCTGCACCAACGTGCACTATCCTGCCCCAACCTTGACCAACATGTACTATAACTTGTACCTTCGTTCAACATCCTGCACCAACATGCACCAATCTGCACCACCCTGCACTAACTTTTGCCATCCCTCACAGTCCTGCTCCATTCTGCACCAATCTGCATCATCCTGCACCAACTTGTATCATTCTGTACCAGCCTGCACCATTCTGGGCCAGTCTGCACCATCTCGCACCAAACGGCTCCAACCTTCACCACCCTGCACCATCCTACACTATCCTGAACCAACCTACAACATCATGCACCATCCTGCACCAATCTGCGCTATCCTGAACTGACCTGCAGAAAAATGCAGCGACCTGCACCATCCTGCTTTAATTTACACCAACTGTCACCAACCTTCACCAACCTCCACCAACCAACACTAACTTGCAGTATCCTGCACCCTACTGCACCCTACTGCACCAAACTGCACCATCGTGCACCAACTTTCACCATCCTGCACTTACTTGCACCTACCTGCACTTTCCTGCAGCAATCCGCACCAACCTGCATCAACCTTTACTAACTTGCACCATCCTGAACTATCCTGATCCAATCTGCAACACCCTACTTCATACTGTATCATCCTGCAGCAATCTACACTATCCTCACCATTCTACACCATCTTGCCCCAATCTACACCATCCTCCAGAATTATGAGATCAATATTGACGCCAGATATAAAATATAAATCATCTTGGTGTTCCTGTTTTCAAAATGCACTTATTTCCTGCCGGAAAAAATCTAAAATGAAGTTAAACCACAGTGAAATACGTTACTTTAGCTTACTCATTATTCATACGGACTCAAAGCCTGCTTCATCATGTCTTTCGTGCTGAATGCCACATTGGACCGATAAGGATTTATTCCCCTTTTCTTGACATAATTAACCGAACGTTTCATTTTTGGTGTGCAACGAACGCTTCCTTTTGTCATCCAGGAAGTGCATGTAACAAATAAACGTCAACTGGAAGTCAGCCGAAGACAGATGTATTAAAAGACAACTATCCCAAAATGGAGTATTTCTGTCAATGAAACCTGAAAATCGACGAATCATTGAACGGTCCTACCTAGGGGTCAAAGGTGTTATCGGTATTATTTAAATAAGGAAATATCCAGGGCAAACATGCATAATTTTAGGAATATAAAAATTTATTTGGGGCATTTGGACAAATACTTAACTTTCTATTAAGGAGAAAAAATGCAATCTAAGCATGATACATGGTCGGAAAAGGGGTGTTCCAGAATGGTTGAGGTTTGAGTTGGTGAAAGCTGCATGTGTAGGTCATGTTCCTTAATCCGTTCATTCATTCGTCTCCCAATCCGAGTATTCGGAATTTGTTGAACTCGAGGCTATGGAAAGGGTAGCAAAGACGCTGCTTTCGAACAGGCCAAGAGCTCAAAATGTCACATCATCACAATTAATTTAGACTAGCTCGTTTCGATTGGCGGAATAATGCAATTGACTTAAATCGTACTAACTCCTGGTTAGCGATAGATTTTTTAGAGGCGGCTTACAGTATCTCAGACTACGTCATCAGTGAGGTAAAAAAGAGTGTGAAACACACTAGATAAGATGAGATAGGATAAGAACCTTTATTCAAGTGTCAGAGTATTTAGCCCAAACAGACTAATTGGGGACATTAACTATTAAAAGAAAATGCTAAAAATGAGTATTTACAATAAAATCTATACCTTCAATAAAATACAATGGAAAGTAGACGACTACAATACTGTACATGTGATACTTAAATTGTTGTGTATTCACTTGAGTTTATAACAGTTTCTATTATCGAAAATATACCCCGAAAAGTTCAATTTTCTAATTTTGTTCCTAAAACTGGCTAAGCTAGCCAGAAGCTTCTCGGAGCTGAGTCTTGTTTAGCTTACACCATAACAAGAGACCTATATATCGAACTATACTTGACTTTATAGATCAGTACTACGATGTCTTGAAGTTTGTTATACAACGTGGGAAGGTTAGCCCTCTCTAAGAGTTCTTCATACGTATCCGAGTGGGATCTATATTTGAGTCGACTCAATGCCCGTTCTTGTATTCGTTCTACCTTCCTTTTGTCTGACGACTTACAAAAATGCCATATTAGGTGGCAATATGTAAGGTGGGGCAAAATAAAAGCCTCATACAGCAACAGCTTAACCTTAGATGGTATTAAATGTCTTAAACGAGAGAGTATCCCGACTTTTTGGCTAGTCTTATTACACAGCTCTCTTATATGCTGTTTTTAATCAAGGTCGTCGTCGATGTGGACTCCTAGTAGTTTAATGTCCTCTGATTTGTCCTCAGCATATCGGATCTTAAGAAGCTCTACGACCCAAAAATTCATAAAGTACAAATTCCATACTTTATGAATGTTTGGGCCGTAGATCTTTTATAGATCCGATACGCTGTAATTCTTGCATGGTTCTGTCCATGTTTTTTAGGTTGGTTTTGGTCAATTCTTTATTTTCTCTGCAAGACATCAACTTGACACTTGGACTCTTGCCCCCTAGAAGACACGTGGTATGGCGTGATTCTGTGGGTGTTAAGAGTTCTGGGTCAGGGCTTAAAATCAGAGTGCGCGGATGTTTTTCATCAGAGCTTTCGCTGGTTGTTGCACCACTCGGTGGCTACAATCCCGCTCTGTTTTGAGTTCTTTCGGTGTCGTGTTGACGTCTTGCAGAGTTAATTTCACGTAGTACGATCAGCATTGCAGTATTCTGCTTGCAGAATTTAATATGTCTACATTATTATTTTTGCTGATCAGGTCTTTATAGATCCTAGGTTCTTCGACATATTCGTTTGCGGTCCTTTGCAGTACTTTGTGGTTAACGTTTGTACCATATCGGAGCTTGCTTGCTGCTTGTTTTCAGTTGCTGTCTAACTATTTCGTAATTTGTTCCCTTCCCATGCAATTGATGGTCATCCGCGTACATGGTCATGTTTCCACCCTCGACATGCAACGATAAATCATTCTGGAACATGTTCCAGAGTAAGGGCCCAAACGATGATCCTCGCGGACATCCACGTTTCACAGGTTTCTAAATGCTTTCAATTTCACCCAGTTTTACCCTGTTTCGTCTGTTTTCGAAAAACAGTCGCATCAAAGCCATAAGTTCAACTTCTTTATTGTCAGAGAGTGACTTAAAGAACAGTCGAAGGCCTAATACTCATATCAATAGATAGAAAAATAAACGGGTTGTTTTGAGTCGAAAGCCTGTTTCCAGTCCTCTATCAGTCCACGCAAGGTCGTCTCACAGCTATGTGACTTTCTGCACGCTGTCATTTTCGAGTACAGGAAGACAACACATACAAGGTAAAGAAGTCTAGTGTATGTAGTGATTAAGGCAGGTACAGATTGAGAAGTTTAAAGTATTTTTCCATGTTACTGGTCAAAAGAATGGCTGGTGGGCGAACTGCAATCGGGCGTTTTTAATTTTTCGTACTCAGTGCAGCGTTAGGTACTCCTTCATTAATTTGTCCAGGCAAAACTCTGGTTGCCGTTACATTACTAAAGGAGAAATTCATCACCTGCGACCTGACGCTTTCGATGGTGTTTTGCTCGGAATGGAAAAAGAGAATGTAGATTCTGGGACCGAACATGCATCCCAACATACCAAACGAAGTTACTAAAGTCGTAGTACAAGATACAATTGTCACGTACCAGCTCTCAAAAGCAAACGCCACAGGGTAATATGCCAGCGATGACAACAGTAGAATGTACATAGAAAATCCTATGTATTTTGTCTCGTTAAAGTTCTCGGGAATTCCTCTTGCTTTGAAAGCGTAATACGTACACAGGAAAGCAACAATGAGCGTGTAAGCACAGACTGCGATGAACAGTGCAAGGCCGACGTTGGTGTCAAATGGTTTGCACACAAGAAAGATGTACTCATCTACACGGATGACTTTATTACGCCTCGGGGGGTCAAGAAAGATCCGCAGGGCCAATAAACAAAGGACAGCTAAATTCATACCTGAGAGAAAGATACCCTGCCTTGTTAGGGTTTTGTAACACGGTGCAAACAACTGCGCCACTTCATCGACCTCAAAAACGCTTGCTATTCGCATAGTTTTCAAAAAGAGCACTGTGATACAAAGATTGAGAGCAAAATAGCGCCAGAAAAATGTTGCGGTGCAAAGTGAATGGCTGGGCTCAGAAAGTTCGAGGACGGCTAAAATAAAGAGAGCTGAGATACCAAATAGCAACAGAAAAGAGAGCTCTCTGTTAGAGGCCTTCACGACTGGGGTGTTGAAAAACGTGATGTAGGTGCCTCCTACGAACAATATGAGAATAAAACCGAGGGAAGCCACCACTGTTATGGTTATTCCATAGACATTTAAATGTGTGATGTTGATGAATGGTAGCTTTTCACACCTACTGCGCCCCTCGTTTGACTTCGTCTCTGGGTCACACTTAGTGCAGTTAATAGATCCTACTTTGGTACTGACAGTTCCCAGTGGACACTTAATACAATCCCAGCAACATGGCTCGGTTTTCTCCCTTCTGGTACCAGGTAAACATTCTAATGAACAGGAGGATAACGGGGTGAAGGGAGTTCTCCATCGTAGCCTGGACAAATCTACTTTGAGTTTGGGCGTGTTTTTTTTGTTCCAAGAACCAACCAGAGTATTTTTGAGAGCTGCGTTTGTGGTTGAGTCAAGCTGGAAGTTTATGATGTCGTATGAAGCTGTTACAGGATCTCCAAACTTGTCAAATCGCACCTTGCCAGTGAAACCGTCAAAACTGATATTTCTGAGATATTTCTCCAGATCTCGTCCCTTGACAGTCGGCTTGACTGGAGAACACTTTCCTCTTTTACCAGCACCATGTATAGTAAGAGGACAGCGGTAAATGTTATCTAGGGCGTGTGCAATAGCATAAACAGCGTCAACGAGATACGATACGAAGGAGTCGTGTATCTTTTGTGGCGCATGGTGCAGAGCAGAGAATCATCGGCGTTTGTGGCTGAACAGTTAAAATGCAATCTCCAGAACTCTTCCCACCAGTCCGCGCCTCTTTCAATGCTTTTGGCAGGTGTGATCGTCTTAAGGTGCTCTTCAAATTCGAGAACAGAATAGTCATGTGGAATTATTCCCAAGGAGCCGTTTATTATAGTGAAGTGAGAGTCTAGATATAATGTTCCCGTCGTGGCCAGTGCGTCGCTAAGTATCCAAGTCTTTTCTTCAAGATTTTGAGTAGTTGCTTCCTCAAAAAATGCTCTTCCGTAACTGTCAGAAAGCCAAACAATGATCACTGTGATTTCAGACCTCCTTTTAATCTTGAGAACAGTTTCCTTCGTTTTATTCTTATAGCTTAGGCGTGGAATATACTCAGAAAAAGCAATGCAAAATGTTTTCCGGTTGTAGGATACTTTTTCTAGGGCCGAAATACCGTTCTGTCCATAAGAATCATCTAACCCGACAGCCGCCACGTATGTCCAGTTGAAGAGCTCTATTATGTCTGCCATGACCTCTGCTTGCCATTTGTCTGGTGGAACTGTTCTGAAAAAGTCCTTGTACATTTGTGAACTCAACTCATCGCTTGTTGCTCTCGGGCTGATGCTGGGAATGTCAGAAACCTGAAGAAGACTTCCTACTAGCACTGCGCTGCCGGAATCGATAGGGCCAACTAACGCTGAGATGGTCTTGTTTTTGGTTTCCTTGACCTGTCTTGTTGGGGAGGTGATGATGTTTTGGTTAGACATATGTACTGGATCGCCATCACACATGAAGTCATAGGCTATTTTCATCGCTCGAGCATTGCTCCAACAGTAGTCTCTTAAATCGTAGCCGATTGTCACGTTCGGTAAAATAGTGGAATTCTTGTTAATTTTCTCAATAGCGAAGATCGTAGCCTCTGCGTATCCCAGCCCTGTGGTAGAAAGCTCAGTACATTGATCATTAGTGCCAGAATAGTGGATGTTGAGTAGACCACCAACTATAACGTCGCCATCTTTATAATTTCGATATCCGTCGTTTGAGGATGTTAGTGGAAGAAATAGCAGTATAAAGAGAGGCGGTCTTAAGATGCCTGAAAGCAATATGTTTTTCCTCCACTTCATCAGCCTTGTGTGGTTTGCACTAAAAAAAATTCAAGGAAAATAGATTTAACCTTGCGAACAGTTTCAAGAAAAAGATGCGTTCAGAAAGAAGAACGGCTTTCTCAACAACAGTCAAACATTTATTGCGCAAACTTGTTTTTGTAAGTTGCTTAAAAGTTCCCGATATCGTTTCTCCAAATTATTGTAAATCTGGCGTATACTAAAAAACCTTCACATACTTTTAACAGTGAAAGTAACCTTTTTAATCTTTTAACTCCGAGTCACCCAAAGGGTATCTGCGATTTATAGAGGTCTTTATAGTGTTGGCTGCCATGTGCAAATGAGTTACTCACTTTCTTAATGTGGGCACTGTTACATCTGTGTCAACTGTAAGGCAAAAGGAAGATGATGCAGTCTTCCTATGATGCATTTCGCCGTAATATATTATCGAATTGTTTTGCGACGTCATCACTTTAAAGATGGATGTATTGAGTAAACGGCTCGATCAAGCTCCCGTCTTTGAGGAAGATAGAGACGTGACTTATATGCACTCTTGCGATTTGAATACCCAGTTCGAATAATTTACAGTACCTTCTTTGCAGTTTTTAAGGCTGAATGCGGTCTTGCCGCCTATTCATTTTTGTCAGTTCTTTGCTGGAGAGGCGTTAGTAAGCTTAAGCTTATATGTTGTCAGCTAACAGGCGAATTTTGGATAGACTCGACGGCGTGAGATTTGTATTCATTGTACAGGTTACTGAGAAAGTTCAAAAGAAAGCTCAGTTTTTTTCTAGGCAAATGAAAGCTTTTCATTATGAAATTGTTCTTCGAGGAATTCAACCTTCTTTTCTTCACGGCGGAGGCCTGTTTTGAAATGCAACCAAGGCGGCGACGTCTTGGAGCATTTTGAGGTGCATGTTTACTCTATGGTCAAGGAAATCTCGTCTTTAAAAGGAAGAAATTTATGTATTTATAAATGTTTCATATACGTTTAATTCATTTTGGTATCGGTGTTTAAAGAAAAATTACGAAATGTGCTCCGATTGGAGATGGCGTGATTTTGTGTTGAATTTTGCCGTGTGCTCAGCCGATTTTCACTCGCGTAAACGGATCCACGATCTAGTTAGTATTACGCGGATTGCTTTTAAGGATTAACTACTGGATTTTTTTCAATAAAATTTTACATAAATAATTTTTCTGTGTATTGTTTTGTGTTTGTTCATTCAAAACATTGGCACAAAACGCGATCGTGAGACCAAGTTGACTTTTTTATGCTACTTACATTACACGCATCACTTCTGCGAGAGATGAACTTTTGTGAATTTTTGGGCACTTTTCGATACGCAGCTAATGGATTTTATTTTAAAATGTGTTTTAATTACTGATTATTCTAGTTATATAAAGAGATAGTTCTTTAAACCTATTTTATGTATATTTTCACTCTACGTACGTTTTACTCATGTTTACTTCACAGGTGGGTCTTCGAGAAGTCGGGCAGTCGTCTGCCAATGGCTTAAAACAGCCATGTTCAATTTCGATTTGTTGATTTTTGAGTTGAGGTACAACGAGGTCCATTGTCATTCCTTGAAATTATGTCCCTTCCTCTCTTCAAAAATTATTATGGTTTCACAGAACCTCAAGTATTGTATAGTAGGAAAGTAACACATTTCTTGAAGTACTCGACCTTGACAGTGAAGATAATACATATATACATACACACATACACACATACATACATACATAAATACTTTATTTATTCTTGAAATTTACAGAGCAGCTGTAGAGCTAATGTCTTCGAGAAAATAAGTTAAAATAAAGTAAAATATGCTATATTACAATTCCAATATTGTTTATAAACTATATACAACATTATGCATGCAGAGGGAAATAAGTAACTTGTAGATCTACTGTGGAAAAGCTTCATCATTAAAATTCAGCTCTCTTTTCGTGAAAATAAGGCATGTAATTACTATACATTAATAACTTGGAAAAGTCGCTCAGTATATTAGTTCGGTGCCAATCAAAAGGAATGACACGCTACAAACTCACTTCTACAGGTCAAACAAGCTCTTTTAAAAGATCGAAAACTCATCTCCGACAATCACAATGTATTTAAAATGGCCACGTTTCACGCGAAAAAAGGCGAAAAATTGCCGCATGGAATCATGGGAAGTCTGCATAATCCTCCTTTGGTAAGGCACTGAATGAATGGAAAAAAGCACAACATTATAGCTCTAGACATTCCTACATGTAAAAACTCATCAGGATTCTTAGACCTTATATCGCTGGACAGCAGAAAACATCCCAGATTATGTGAACGAAAAGATTTTTTAAGAGCAGCCGTCTAAATGACAGTGAACTCGGATATCGGCTGCAGTTACATATGTGAGCAATGGAGGAAAACTATTTCTTTGGGCGCGTACAAATTAAAGCTTGTTATGACGTTGTCTGAACTCTTACGCCGGCTGGTTTTGCACAACAAGAGCACGGAAGCTATTCTATGGATTGTCTTTTATAATTTGTAAACTGTTCCAGCTGAGTTCCGGTGAAATTGTATTTCTAGTGGCTGAGTGAAATAATGTCGATTCACAGTCTGGGTATATCCACGTTGAAGCCTAAACATTGTGAGATTTTCCCTTAAGGGTTTAAGGTCTGGCTTTTGTGAAATTGTTTTTAAAAAATTCAGTTGAGATATCATCTGGCGCGGTAAAAGCGTGAGAACAAACGCTTTTTGGCTATCGGGATATGTGATGGGAAAAAGTTGGTTGAACAAAATTAAAGGGAATAAAGGCACGTCTTATTCGCTGCTGAACCAATGCAAGATGAATGAATACTAAGTATGACTTTATTGATTATGTGACTGATGCTTACACCCAGAAGACCTATCAAGTACTTTATTAAAATTTTTTATTGTAAAAAAAAGCGAATAGGAGTCTGTAAACTCGGCGATTTTTGTCCGGTTCTGGTTTTCTTAATTCTTTGCCTGGGAAACCGAAATCATTGGGATGCTAGCACACGTGATAGTCTCCATAAGAATAGAAGTGAAAAGACGAAAAAACCTTAATTTTCTATAAATTTCTCTTTAATATCGATTTATAGTCACAACAAAATATTTCATTTACAATGTCATATGCAGGCGTTCTCAATTTTAAACATTGTTGTATTTACATCTTGGAGGTTTCGAAACCACATTTTTTAAAGCACTTCATTCAACTTACAAATCATAAGTTAGTAATACCCAAACACTAGTAATAGTTAACAAAACGTTACAGTTACAGAGATCATTTTGGTTTTCTTATAACAGAGAGAAGCAACAAAAAAATGGCAAAGCGAACAAAACCATTTGAAATATTTTGCAAGAAATTCTATTTTTTCTGTATTTATCTTGTTCCCCCGACTTATTCACGAAGTTTTTCTCCAACAATATTTTGTAGCGAACTAGGAATATGAAGTCTTCAAACTGAAATTTGTTTTTAACGCCATCATTATTGTATAGGAAGTTCTTTTGTATAATAATGAGATGGTTTAGGACTGAGAAGTGACAAAAAGAGTGAAATGTGCCATTTAAAAACTGACATCTAAATTTGAAAGTTGAAGTTCGGCCTCACTGGGAACTAAACCACGTACATGTAAACTATAATTAACACTGTCTCACGCGAAAATTTTGAAAAGGACTGAAGGCAGGCTCGGAAATGGGGATCGTTCGATTTTCTTCAAAAACTGTGGGTCAATGTCGCTACGCTTAAATGAGGTAAAAACACGGCCGCTGACAACAGCGAAAAAAATATGAAGAAGTACCGATCATTTTTGAATAGAATTACGGATAGATTTCCTAGACCACTAAATACTTAAATTTTGATCACCAGACCGTTCTGTGTACTAAAGTTAGCCTATTGTGGTCTGCATATGGTTTCTTAGACGACACTTTCAAAAACTAACAATTGAGTTATACCCATAAAGCTGAATCTCGTTAAGCTACAAAAGCGGCATTTTTCGTGACGTCTCATATCTTACCTTGACGCTTCTGTTTGAGAGACGGTCTGCTTTAAAACAATAAATTCCCCAAAATCCTCATTAAGTGACTGTGGATTTGGACTTTTTATCCTTAGACGACTTTCAAGTCGTTGTCTTCTTGTTTGGTCTTAAATTTCAGAAAGAGTAAAGAGCTTGAGTAACTTGACTTTCTGAATAAACTACGTCCTATTAACCGTCGCATTTTACGTACCCATATTTATGTTAGCACCTTAAATTAGTGAAAATGGTCATGCGACGTTAATGCTAACTAATTTCAAGGTAGTATCCATTATTATATATTATCAGTTAGACAAAAGTTTTTATGTCTACCTTCAATTGTTCTATATTTACGATTTGATGTTCCTGTAGACTTATTGACTTCATTGCCTGGGAAAAGGGGAAAACCAGATAACTATATTTCGTCCTACTATTTCCATGACGAAACTACTATTAGGCGAATTCAAATCAGACAAGATACCACTGACGACAAAAATCTTGATCAAGTGAGCGCAAAATGTTTGTTAATTTTCAAAAGGATTACGTATACCTGCCAACTTTTTCTGAGATATAAGCGTGAGATTTTTATCCTGGGAGTGCTGGGATTTTTGAAGACAACACGATCATTTCCGAAGATTCCCGAAGAAGTCCGAAGTCTTCCGAAGACGTCCGAAGTCTGCCGAAGTCTGCCGAAGTCCGCCAAAGGCGAGCTCGCTCCCAGTGCTTTTCACTTCAAAAATCAGAGATCGCGAGGAAGGTATTGCCATTTATTCATTTTACACATGGTTTTCGTTCCTTACATGGGTCTGAGTTAACATATTTTTGGAAATTGTGTCAAGCAGGACGGCAACAACTCACATTTTTCAATCAGGCGTGAGAAATTGGCCCGCAGGCGTGAGCCGGCGTGAGATCGAAGTTTTCAACCCGCAGGCGTGAGAGTTGGCAGGTATAATTACGTAGAGAGGCCTGATGTTTCTGATCGAAATAAAAACATCCAACGCTCAAATTATTTGTCGGCACTTCAGTGATGATCAATAGTTCTTGTCTAGTGTTGATTAATTTCTGGTTGTTCGTTAATGATAAAGGCAAGTTTAATAACTTTATTGTAGATTAAAACATTTGTTTTGCATCCTGCACCTGGCAGAGTAGTTTCCGGTGAAATTAAAACTGTGGTTCCTAAGGAAAATTCAGTAAAGGAAGTAAGCATCTATTTCTGGCACAGCTAAACTTTATATCCAATTTTCATGGCCAAACTATTGTAGCTTTGAGTCAAAGATGAATCTTGTTAACAGCTGTATTTCATTTTGTGGTGGCCAGGGGCATAGTGTGGGATTTTGAAGATGTACGCACGAGAATAAATTTTTCTTAAGCGCCGAAGGCGCTTACAACTAGGGGGGTGTGGGGGCATGCTCCCCCAGAAAATTTTGAAATTAAGGGTCTCGGAAATGCCATCTCCTGGTTTTTCTGCGGGGCATTTTCAATAAATAATGCGGCAAAAATGCAGTAGAAAGTTGTTTATTCGATGATACTACCAAATTTGGAATACTGTTGTGCTGTTTTTCGTGGCTTTGGTAAAGGAAATGAAGAAGAATTGGGACGCCTGCAGAGACGTGCTGCTAGGATAGTGCTAAAGACGGTGCATTTGTCCATTCAAGATATGGCTTCCAGTCTTGGTTGGGACCCTCTTAAGACGAGAAGAGAGAAACATATCGTCAAACTTGTCAAGAACTATCTTGATGTACAAGCTCCAAGTTATTTCTCAGATTATTTTCGACGGCGAACTTATGATATTCATGACTATGACACTAGGTCTAAGGATAGGTTATCTATTGATAAAGTCAATCTCGAGTTGACTAAGAGGGCCTTTTTTTTATAAGGGGGCTACCCTTTTTAATGATTGTATGTAGTTTTCTTCATTAGGAGGCTACTTTTTTTCGTTGATTATAATTATGTAGTGTATCCCAGTTTCATATATAATTAATGTTTTTATCTTTTTATTCATTTATTTTTATACAGGACCCATTTTGATAGCAGTTTTTATAACTGAAATGGTCATCCTGTTTAAACATGTTATTATTATTATTATTATTATTATTTTAACCATTTCCCTAGTGTTTTCTGTAAGCTACAGTGTACCGAAAAGAAAAAAAAATACAAAAACAATGAAGACAGGTCGCAAGCAAAGGGCGAGGCGTCGACGCTTAAGACGGGAAAACTCCGTTACCACTTGTCAATATCCACATTCTTATGTTTATGTATATGAAGGATTGCTAGGGAGCTTAATCTTTCGTCCATCATTGTACTTCACAGAGGAGATTTTAGTCTCTTTATGCTACTGAAGCTACGTTCGGCAGTGCATGTAGACACAGGGTAAGTTAACAATGTTACGAGAGCAACATATACACCGGGATAAAATTGCGTAAAATTGAGTTTGCGTCGTCAAGAGTCTCAACCAAAGTCTGCGGCGTCACATTCGGATCCACGCCACTCCATTTGTGCTTCCATCTTGTGACTTCGGTTTTAAACTCATCCTCAGAATTTATGGGGTTTGAGGGAGGGGTACA